AGCCGGCCGATGATGTCCTGGTTGTTGCCCAGGCGGGGCAGGTCCTGGCCGTGCGGGATGTCAGTGATCTCGCGACACACGGGGCACGACAGCGTCTTGATTTCGGGGGCGCTCACGTTGATGCGTGCCAGGCACTCCAGGCAGAAGGTGTGCCCACAGGTTAGCAGCTTGGGCGTCTTGAAGGTGTTGTCGTAGGAACAGAAGCAGATGGCGCACTCGGGCTCCTCGCCGTCGCTCTCCTCGGGCGGCCGGTGGCGGTGGCCGGCGTCGCCGCTCCTGCCGTGCTGGCGCCGACGCCGGTGGTGGGTGGGCTCGCCCAAGCGCTGCTCTCTCCGCCGCCCTCGCTCAGAGTCGGAGCTCCTGGACCTCCTGGAATTTTGCGGGCGACGGTTGTCCATGCGGGGCTTGACGTTGCCAGGCGGCCGGGCATCGTGGCTGTGACTCCGACGAGACCGCCGCCTCTCCCGCTCGTCGCTCATGTCGGCCGTCTGTGTTTGCCGGTCAAGGGTTTCTGTTGACAACAACACAAACTTAAAACAGCTGGCAAAGGAAAATATTTCGGGTGTCATATTTTTGGATGGTTTGATAATATAGTGGTCTCACATTCTTTAATTAATTTTCCAATATTTTTGTCTCGTAATTTTGTGTTCCTTTCAAATTTCTGATAAGTTGGGCCTAATGTTCTCCGTGAATTTTCGTATGTTTTTGGTTTAATATTTGATTTTATTTGCAATAATTTTGTCAGACATGTTGAATTTTTTTTCAGTCAAAAATGTTGAGCCTAATACTTTTAGATCATTCTCTCAATGTTTTTTATTTTTGTTTTTGAATATTTTTCCAAAATATTTGCATTCAAATTTAGAATATTAAGATAAGATAAGCCTTTATTTGTCCCGCAATGGGGAAATTTACAGTCAGAGTTCAGAAAGGAAACCACAAGGTAGGGAGAGGGAAAAAAAAAACCACGCTCGAACTATCCTCTTCTGAGGATAATTTAAGTCCAGGATAAAAAAATATTATATTGATATTGATTCCAATTCTTTGTCTATTATCTTGGGCCTAATATTGTGCTATGATTTTCTTATATTTTGGTCTAATAGTTTTCCTCTTGTGGCCAAGAAATTGTTTTGATTTTCCAATAAACGTGTCTAATATTTTTAAATGATTTAAAAAATATCTGTGGTTAATATTCTAGGCACAATATTCATTTATTACCATCGAATATTTGTTGAATGTTTTTGGCCCAATATTTGTTTTCATTACTTTCTAGTAATTGTGTCTAATATTACTTTCAATTTTAATATTTTGGCCTTGTATTGTATTTTTTTCTAATATTTAGTCTAATATTTAGTTTTGAAAATAATATTTTTTCTGTAGACTTCTAACACTTATTTTGCATCTAATATTTTTGGTTTGGGGATTTTATTTTCTAATATTTTTGTATTACATACACAAACATCAGCCAATATTCTTCTTAATGTTGGAATAATTATTGATAGTTTTGTTATTTTTCATAAAATCTTTTTTCAATGTAATTGTAAAAAATATTTTAATTTGTCAAATATTTTTGCTCTACTCCTGTTGCTCTAATATTTTCTAATATTTTGGACATCTTTTTTCCTAGTATTTTGTGTAATTGTTGTCAAATATTTGTTTATTTTCCATCTAATATTGTAGCCTAAGCTGTGTCTCCGCTTTGCCATTTACCAGTCAAGCGTGTCCGCAGACAACACCACAAACCGTTGACTGCCAACAACTGGCAAAGCAGGAAACAAGCAGGAGGCATCCGGCCCAGTGACACCCAACATTGTTTCAGCGTTTACGTTGACTCTTTGGTTAGCTCGTAGGATCTATTTGTTTTTCAAAATATACTACACAGACGTCATTGTGCATGCCAGCGGTGGAAGTGCTTTAAATTACAGCCCAAACCTGAATTTGCTCCACTAAAATCAACTGCATCCACTGTGACCTGAACATTTTCAAATTTAACATGAGTTCAACCAAAATATTCTGTACCAGTATGACTTTTTATTTGTAGTGTACCAGTGATGGGAAAGAAGAATTGAGCCACTGAGAACTATATCGTGTGCTAACATCATTGTTAGCACACTATCGTTCTCCATATCCTTCAGGGGTCTCAACCAAGGTCTACTTCCAATTTTGAGGGGGCAGGACTTTTCCCGTTTCTTCAATGCAACATTGGGCCAAACATCTCAGAAAGTGAGGTTCGGAGATTGATGGAAGACTCAGAAAGTGAGTAGTGCCTTGAGATACAAGTAATGTATCACATTTACTGTATATGGTTACTGGATGACCCGCTCTTATGTACATCTGAGCCGCAAACCCCCCCCCCCCCCCGTGGCCCGAATTGCAATTTTTCCATCTATTAAACGGTTTATAACAAATTGTGATAAAACCAGAGAAGCTTCGTATTGTTTCAAATTGTCATTATTGCTACGATGGTATGTAGTGAAAGACACGAACTGCAGCAGCTGTGTTTGTTTTTTTTTCCATCTCGTGTTTTCGGATTTTCCTTCATATAATTTTTTTGGTCTAATTTTATTTTGTTTTCATTAGATTTATGTATTTTTCAACCAATACCATTGAATATATATATTTTTTAAAATATATTTTTGTGTACTTTTTCATAGCCGGCCTGACAGTGCAGAGGTGGAGGGTTCGATTCTAGGCCCCGGCCTTCCAGTGGGGAGTTTGCATGTTCTCCCAGTGCCTGCGTGGGAATTCTCCGGGTACTCCGGTTTCCTTCCACATTCCAAAAACATGCACGGCAGGTTAATGGAACACTCTAAATTGTGCCTCAGTGTGAATGTGAACGGGTGTGTCTATGTGAGCCCTGCAATTGGCTGGCAATCAGTTCAGGGTGTACCCCGAAGACAGCTGGGATAGGCTCCAGCACATCCTTGTGAGGATAAACGTATTAGAAAATGGATGGATGTTTGCCCTATTGCAATATTTTCCAAATTTCATATTTTTGTATTCTTTTCTAATGTTTGTGTATTTTTGTCATACATTATAGTATTTTCTTGTCTCATATTTACATAATCCCATGGATTTTTTTTTATC